CTGCAGCCGCTGCACGTCTTAAGTTTCGAGCGATTTGGGGGAAGGAAGGAGGACAGAGAAGAAAAGAAGAGGGGGGTGGAGGGGGGGAGAAGGAAAAAAGCTGGGAGAGGGAGAAGAAAGAGATCTTCCTTTTGCCGAAGGAGGCATAACGTGGCTTAGAGGGTGCCAAAGCAAAAGGTTTTGCTTTATTTCATTTGTTTTTGCAACCGAGGCGTTCAGGGTGGGGCTGGCGCGAGGCGAGGGCGGATGGGCAGAAGGTGCCGGTCTCAGCGCACGGCGAGATTGGTTTATGCCTTCGGGTCCTCGCGCGGACGATTGTGATGCTGGACTCTTAAAAATACTATTGAAGGACCCCCTCCCCCACTGTCCCCTGCCTTCCTCCTTGGAACCCTTGGAGTTCATTCAAAACCGTCAGACTTTTCCAGAGCAGCCCCCCCCCCCGCCCACCGCACGGGGAGGGGGGGGGAGCGGGAGGACGTGCGCCCCGCCCGGTGCTCCGAGCGCCCGCGCACCCGCGTCGGCACGCTCATTACCACTACAAAGCCGGCGGACGTCTCAGCGCCGCTCCAAGGCTGCGTCTTCCACCGAGAACATCGGGAGGCCAGGAACTTACAGGGCGGCCGGCTTTATCTCTAGGGAAAGTTCCAGTGTAAGAACCAGATGCCAACATTCCCGGACGGTTTATGGCATCCGGATCCCTCAAGGGGGCTCCTCTGCAGTTAGAGTGTTAGCAGCGATTATTTGTCGTCTGTCCTGCAGAGGCGTTCCCTGAACGTGGATGTCCTCTGCTGGGCCGAAAACGGGGGTGGGGTGGGGGGGGGTGGGGCGGGGCAGGACTGTTCCCGATCCTGTTATCTGGCTCAGCAGTTTGTTGTGATTTTCGAGCAAACAGCATCTGGATTACATGAGGATTCCAGTTTTTGCTTTCCCTGTTTATTTAATACCTTGGCAAGAGGGACCCCTGACCCTAGCCCCAGATAACCGAATTTGGGCTTAAAACGGCCTTCGATGGGGACGAGAGGGAGGGACATGAGCAAAGCCACAGAAAGCACACGAGGGGATGCTCATTTCTCTCCCTTTGGGTATTGCCGAAGACCCGCCTAACCTCTACTAGCCGCATCGCTCTAGCGAAGCGCCTCGGCCACCACAGTGGCTTAGCATCGGCCCGTCGCCCCGGCCCGGGTCGCGGTCCCCTCGAGGATTCGCGCGGTGCTGCGTGTCCGGAACCACGTGGGGCCGTCCGCCGTCCGCGTGGGCAGGTCACCTTTCAGCTCCGCGCGTGCAGAGGAAGCGGCGTTTGGGGAGTTCGGCCGAGGGGCCGCGTTAACGACCAGCACGGCAGATATTCAGTTACAAATGCTGTGAAGTGTCCCGGTTTGTGGCCCGCCTTTGCCTTTCACAAAAGATTTTCCTGTGACTTTTGTTCCGGTCACCAAATTAAAAAAGAAAAGTAACTTGAGCGAGAGATAAGGTCTTGGAAAAGAATCCCGGCCGCCCGCGAGCTGGCGGGCGCGGGGCTGGCG